ATTAATGGACCAAAAATAGAAAAGGTAATATATATCTTTAATATTAAGATGAATGTTTAAAAGCTTTAAATACTAAATGAAATTGAAATTTATTTTTATATCAAAACACATTATCATTATTAAAAATCTTTATATAAGTTTAATTAGTTTATTCCTTAAAAATAATAAATTAAAAATGAGTTCATTCTTATAGAAACTCTTCATATTATAAAGATTGTGGTTAGATACAGTTATATACTGTTTGAAAATCAATACAAAGGATTACAAGCTTTAAATAAACAAAAGTTATTAAATTAATATATAAATCTACAATCTTCTATTTATCATGATGTTTATTATATAATTAAATATAAATTACTTTGCATTTATTATCTATCTTTATAAATTTAATTATTTACAGTACTTGAAGATATAAGACTTTTATTTTGTAATAATTTTACATAACTAATTTATTCTCAGATTCTATTCCAAGTGCAGATTAGGAAATGCCTGAAAAATTAACACTCTTAGAATTTATACACTTAAATTTTTGTTGGGGCTTCTGGCTTTTATGAACAAATGAAGCAATTAAATAATCCATTTTGTTCAATAAATCAATTTGGAATCCAAACATTTTTCTGAAACAAAACTATTTAATCAGGTTTAAATATTTTTAATAGCCATTGTTATGTATAAAGCAAAATCCAATATTAGTCGAAGAAAATTGGTATATCTAGAAGGCAAGCTTTTAAACTCAAAAATTCTCATTAAATTTAATGAGTTTTAAATTAAAAATGCATAATTTGGCATTTCGTAGATAGACTGCTTGTTTGTAAATCATTACTCATATAAGTTGCTAAAATATATACAGTAACAAACTTAACTTACTTGGGGAAAAATTCAAAAATGATAGGAATTAAGACCATTTTTATAAATTACTTAATTTTATTTAAAAGCTGTATTATACAGTAAAAATTTCAATTGAAAGTCAAAGTACATTGATATTCTCTAAAATTACAAAACTGTTATTTAGCTGTTTAATAATTTAACATTACAAATTTTTAGAAATATTAGTTTACGATTCCATATGGAAGGTTGCTTCAAAATGGAAAAGAGCTTTCTAAACTCAGTAGATGTTTATTAAGTATCATTATTTATTTAATGTATCATAAAGCCTTCAAAGAAATTCAAGATTGCTTATAATATAGAAAATTAGACATTTATTGACAGGTTTGAATTGATAAAAACAAATAAAATTTCATGTGATAACCAAGATACATTAATGATCATGGATATTTTGATAGTAATGAAATAGCTGTTGTGACACATACTATGCATAATTAAGAGGTAAAAAAAAATAATTCAATTCTCATTCCGAGAATTAAAAGGAAATCTAATTATGGCACATATAAATTATGTCTCACAACTGTTGTAGAAAGCAAAGTTGAAATTTTAAGTCAGTTCAACTATACCATAATTTTATTTTTACATAACTCATTAATAACTTTCATTAAATCTATTTTCTCCCCTATCTTAATTTGCACTTATAACTCTATTGATATTTAAAGATAATTTCAAGACATTTCAAAATATACTTTGTCCAAAATTTTTATTGAATAATAATGTAACTATAGGCAACACAGATTACTTTAATAAATTTTTCAAAGTCTGGTTTGTTTTGACTAGAATATATTGAGCAGTTACACTCATCATTTTCAAAACTTTAGGGCAAATTAAAAATAAATTAATGAAGTAATTTTTTTGGTAGATCTAAATCCTGTTTAATTTTGGGATTCTATCTGAAACTTAATATTTGTTTTCATCCGAGATGATTGCCATAGTATTTCAGCCAAGGTTTAATATATGTTTTTCATGTGCTAATACTATAAAATATCTATAATTTTACATTTATTATTAAACATCAACACAGTATGTTAGAAAACAAAAAAAAATAATAATATTTAATCTAATGAATTATTTCATTGCACTGTTTGAAACTTCCTTCTTTTAAAAATTTCTTTAAGAAAGTTATTCCAATGATTATTATTGGTATTGAGATCCATAGAAAGGCAAAATTAAACATGATATTATTTTTACAATAAATCAAGAAATTTTTTAAGTTTGTTGATAGAAAAATATTAATAAATGTATAAGTCCTCAGAATTTTAATTTTTCAATGAAAGTTCTACAAATAAAGCCATGAGAAGATTTAAAAAAAGTTGGTTAGTGGTCTGTTTATTGCTTTCAATATATGATATTAGATGTTACTGTAATTAGAACAGAAAATTTAAGCATAAAAATTATATATTGTGGAAGATATTAATTAGAAAGACGAGATGAAAAATTTTTAATATCATTTTCTAAAATATTAAGTTTATCGTATAAACAGTGTATATCATAATTAACTTTTACTATCAAGGTTTACAAACAGATTTGAATTATGGTTTAGAAAATAATAATTTGAAGTAAAATATATTTCTTACAAAGATATATAACTATCTTGGTGGTTTGAAAATCAAATTTAAATTTGAAAATAAGTTAATATACTTCAAATATATATTTACTTTTGTGAAGGTTGACTAAGTGATTACAAAATTAAGAAACATTTTATATTTTAATTATATTAACTGTTAATGAAATACAGATTCTACAAGTATTATTAAAAAAATATCAAACTGTAAAAAAGAAGAGTTATAAGATATTTTGGACCAGTAAAAGGCTTTGAATAGAAGTAAAACTTTATGAAAACAAAATACTTTTTTGGAGAATTTTTCTGATATAAGAATCAGAACAATAAACAGCAGTAAAAATTAAATTATTTTTAAACTAGAATTTGAAAATAAAAAAAAGAGTGGGCATTGGTTTAGAGATTCTACTATTAAGCTTTTTTGAAAGTGAATAATATAGTATTGATAATATCTTAAGGTTAGATAAAAAATAGGTTATATGAAAATTTATCTAAATTAAATTAATATAGTATCACAGGTATATATGGATCCAATATTTGATTTGATATAAAATGTGCCTTTCTAACGCTTGATGTACATAATTATTGATAAAGCACATTAAATTTATTAAATTGTAATAATAGTTTCTTACAATTCATAGCACAGAGTTCATGGTCAAAAATTGATGAGAGTAAATGCTCCCTAAGGTGACTCATCAATCTTAAGGCCTCTGAAAAAACTTATTAGTGATTTCTAGAACTCAATGGCATGGTTATAATTTTTAAAACGAATTTATGACCCAAAGCTGTTCAAGAGGTAGAGCATACCCACTCTCTAAAGATCACTCTCAACTTTTCATTCTTTAACCATTTCTTCAGTTTACAAGTGGTTATTCACCCCAGTTATTTTTATTAAAGTGCTTTGGGGTCCTGATTTTTGGAAAAAATTTAACAAAATAGGCTAGCCTTTAACCATTAAAATCACTAGGTTTGGAAGCCCATGGAGGATAGGCCGGAATAGCTTCTCTATGCGGTTTCAGATGATATAGAGGAGTCTTTCAAGAACCGGACGGCCAGTAAGTGAAGGGAAGTTCAAAGATCTGAACTCAGAGTGGATGCTTGGAGTGGGGAGTCGCTCTAAGAGAGTGGGTATGCTCAATTCCAATGTACAGCTACCGGACTGGGATTTACCTCATTGTATAAACAGACTGATGGAGTGTCAAATATCAAATTGAATTATTCAGCACTATATATACCCTTTTAATTTGATTTTCTTTCCATTTTAATATCATGAGTATAATTTGAATAAAATTCTATTAATTTCGTTGATATGAATTGGTAAACAGAAAGATAAAGAATAATTTAAAAATTTTTAATAAAAATCAAAAATTATTTTGAGAGTAACATACTTTAATTGTAATCTTATAATAATTTCAACTTTTCCTCAATGTTATTGTAAAACCTTAAATTTTTATGGCCCCCTAACAATTATCACTCATTTTCTAATTTAAAACCTCTGACCTCTAATGAAATAAATCATTATTGTGGAGATAAAGTATCTTTTAAAGCCACTGCAATTCTAATTTAAAAATACAGGAAAGTTAGACTATTTAAATAATTTTAATACATTAATCATAAGTAATTTTTTTAATAAATACACTTTTTATTAATTTTATGGTCATGAATAAGAACTATTATTATAAATATAATTATCAATTATTATTTTTAGAAGGGCTTATATGTAATGTCATATCTGTAAATATTTGAATTTTTTGTTCATAAGGATGAAAGGTGAAGAATAATAATATTTTTCTAATACCCCACAAATCATATTTATTAAAACAAATTTATTATTATGTTTTAAAGATATATTCCAAAGAAATTCTAGAAGGTAACCTCGATAAGGCAATAAGCTAATCGTATCACTTTGAAAAGGAATTTCCAAGAGGAGGTAGGATTTTTTGTAAACACTCTATGATGAGCTTAATTATTTAAGAACAACCAAATTTTGCCAGAATCAAACACAGTCAAGTATCAAAAGAATATAACAATAGACATAATCCACAGTGATATTGAATGAAACAACCCTTACATTTTAATCAACTAGATCTACCACACAAGAATTATTTTCTAACGATAAATAAAGATCTTAATTTACACCATGTATGTTTGAATAGATTCAAATTAGAACTATTTCACAACCTATAAAAAGGAATTAGAAATAATATAAGAATAGTAAGAAGTAATTGGGGTTTATATATTATCAATGAAATAGGTGGAAAGGATGAGAAAAAGGTAAAAATGAGAATGAATTGGCAATTAAGTTTGATCATAGCCTGATGTTCTAAATATACATCAAAAATAAGAATAATCTCTACTCAAGAAGAAGAAAGAAATTTATTTGACAAACAATTAGAAGGATGTTGAATTATTAAGGGGCTTGTAATTTAATAAAACTTCAAAACTAA